CACCACCACCACCACCACCACTTGCCACGGAGTCCGCTCAGACTCCTGGTGACCCCGTGTGTGTGAAAGTGGGTTTCAGTGTTTGAATTGTCTCCCCGTACATTGCCCAGGTCTTTCTCCTGAGCTGCCTCAGGGGTGGGGTGGGGTGGGGTGGGGCTCGATCTCTGCCTGTCTCTCCTCACCGCTGCACGGGCTCCCTCCGGAGAGCAGCTGCCTGCCTGCCTGCGCTTGAACAGGGACTGCACGTGGCAGGCACACGCTGTGGACGGACTAAGGGGCAGCCAGGGCCAAGTGCAGCAGGGCAGAGCTGCAGAGTGAGAGGGGCCCCTGGAAGGGGGCTTACAGGCCCTCACGCACGCAGCAGCCGGTCCGCCTCCCACCACCGCACTGGTTGGTCTGCGTGGTCTCTGTTTATGGTGTCCCAAGCCCCGTTCCTTTGGGGTAGCTGCCTGTCCACTCCAGCCCTCCTGTAGTCCTTTCTTCCTGCCACCCTATCTCTGAGCTCTTCTCTCCTCCCCTCCCCTCCATCAAGTCTCAGATGGTCACGGTTCCCCCAAACCCAAAACACGCCCACTGCCATCCACTCAGTTCCGAGTCAAGGTGACCCCAATGGAGCAGGTTTCTGAGACTAAATCCTGACAAGAGCAGACGGTCTCAGCCTTTCCCTTCGGGGCGGCTGGTGGGTTTGAACGGCCGACCTTGAGGTTAGTGGTCTGACACTTAACCCACAGCACCGTTTTGTTTAGGCTCCTTCCTTTTGCCAAAGGCTTCCTTGAAGGTGGAGGCGCGGCTGAACCGCCTGCTGCGCTCAGGGCCAGGCATGGGAAAGCGAAACCTCTCTTGTTGGAGACGAGTGTTTTCCCACCTGAGCTGTGCCCTGGAATTATCCGAAAGGCTTTAAAAAAAAAGACCAACCAGTTGAATTGGTCATAGGGTTGTAGAGCTCCCTCCTCTTTTTCTACTAGCGCGGCCCAAGCTCACGTCTGTATGGGAGCAGCCTAAACGCCTCTGGCTGGTTCTCTGCAGGGGCACCCAAAGCCACCCTGGGCTTTCAGGGCTGTTGGCAGGGGCCTATTGCTCAGAACACTCTTCCTGCCTCTGCAGCACGCCCTGCCTGAGTGTGAGGAGCACCCGTGCCTTCTGAAGCCCCCCAGGCTGGATGTGGGGGGGAATGTCTTTAGGGCCGGGTACTCCATGCAAAGTCCCATTGCTGCCCCGGGCCTCCCCTGGCCTGTGTGCTGGCAGCCACGTACCGCTTCGACCAGACTGCTGGCACTGCCGTGGAACTGCCTCCCTGGGGCCCCGGCCTGGCTGGGCACCGTGAGGGAGACAGGCCGGGCTCTCCGGACGGCACTGCCACCCTCACCACAGTCAGGACCCTCCTGGGACCAGGAGCTGCAGTGGATGGACGGGAAGCTGCTGTTGAGTTTCTCCGCGGACTCAGCACCCTCCAAGCGCAGGGTGGGGATGGGCTGCGGGGGCCACCCTCGGCCGACGGGCGTGGCAGGGGGCGTGGCACACGGCCTGGGGAACGTGGTGGGGGAGTGGCTTCTCTGGAGAAGAGGGCTCAGGCCCGCCACTGCCAATGCCTGCGGACACAGAAGACCGTGGGTTACTGGGGCCACTGGACAGATCCAGCGAGAGGCAGGCCTCTGCATTCTGCCGCTTGCAGCCACTCCCACCTGGCACTCAGCCCTCCACCCATCAGTACCACCCACCCGGATACCTTCCCACCAGGGCCCAGTACGTTTCAATGGCCCCAACGCATGCTTTGTGACCACCCCAGGCTGAAGCTGTCTCTTCTCTGCATCCAGACTTAAGACCACCTGGGCATGAGCGTGTGTCTCACTGTTCTGAGCCTTGTTTTAGCTTGTAAGTGGGACAGGGAGAACCACGAGGGCTGGTCCCTGGTACAAAGGGGAGCACGGGGCCTTCTCCAGTCCCCTTGCAGGGCCCGTGTCGGTGCAAGCGCAATCAGGTATGGCACGGACATTGCAGCCCCAGAAAGAGCTCTGCTCGCAGACCAGTGACGAGGCAACCCTCGGCGCTCTGGTGCACGGTTGCTGTGAGTGAGGACGTCGACCACAGAGCTGGACAAAGCCGGCTGATTTCTGTTTTGCCTTTGATATGACTGGCCGGTGAATAAGGTCCTGCCAGTTCCTAGCTCAGGATATCCGGAACCATCGATGACATCTTTCGCCTCTCTTGAAGTTAACGACACATGCATTTCGGTCCTCTGTCCTGTGTCTCGCCTACACGCTAGCTGCTCGGATGCGACGCGGTGTCTGTGGGCAGAGACAGCTCAGCCATCCCACCTGTGGCAGGGAGGGTGGGCATGGCCATGTAGGTTGGAGGGCAGTGGAACAGACTAAGGAGGAGCACGGGAATAAGAGGAGAGGGTGGTTGGTGTCTTGTCTCCTGGCATGGTAAGAACAGATTGGGGAAACACACTTCTAGGAATCTGTGAACACAGCACACACCGTGCCCTCGTGTCTTGCCATATGGGGTGGGGGGTGGGGAACGTAAGCGGGCTGCTGGTAGGCCACATTCCATTCTTTACAAAGTCCCCCATGGGAGTCTGCAGAGGGGGTGATGGGCACAGTGAAGGGAAACAGCCCATGCCTCTGAGCTGCTGTGCTGTCCGCCAGCCAAGCCCCGCTGGCCATCCTCTGCCGGTGAGAAGGCTTGACGGGAGAACGTGTCTGGGTGTAAAAGAGTCATTGAAATAAAGTACAGGCCTGCAGACGGTAAGGAAGTTTACAATGACGCAGGTGAAAAGGCTGAGACTCAGGTGGAGGCCCGGACTGGCTGGCGGTCATGACTGTTCTCAGAGAACTCGTGATGTCTCCGCCCTCGGCACTGCTGTCGTTGCTCATTGCCGTCAAGCCAGCAACAACTCAGCACAACAGAGTGAGCCGGTGCCCCGTCCTGCGCCATCCTCGCAATGGCCCGCATGTCGGCCAGCACTAAGACACCCAGAGCGCGGCTGGTACTGACGTTGGGTTTTCCGATCGCGGGTAGAGTCAGCGGGTAGAGTCAGCGCGCCAAGGGAGACTTCATCTACTCAGTCTCCCTGGCCGTCGCCCTGGGCCCGCTCTTCCTCCTGGCCTGCTGCTTGGCAGGCGCGTTGATCATCTCTGCACTTCGTGGATGGGCTGTGGTGCCGCTGACTTTCCGGGTGTCATTTGGGGTGACCACATTTGGCTGAGCGCCCTGGAGGGTATGCCCATGTCTGGGGAGGTAGCATCTGGGCACTCTGAGAGGGTGGTGCAGGACCTGACCATGCTTTGTTCTGTTGTGCACAGGGTCATTATGGGCTGGAACCGACTTGATGGCCTCTAACAACAACAACAACAAGAAGACAGGGTGGACTCTCAGAGCTGCTGACCCCTCAGCATCATGGGAGGGGTCCCTGCTTACCAGTGCCTCCGAGGTCTCTAACCTGGGGAATGAGAGCCGTGCCAGGGCTCTCACCAGAGTTGGATAAGTGGGAGCCTTACTGGGCGTTCCTTGAGAAGGGGCAGGATGCAGTGACAGTCTGAGAAGGTCAAGACCGAAGGCTATCATTTTGCCTATCACCACAGCCTTGTCCAGCCTGCTAACCAGTGGCCCATGGCCTGAAAGTCTGGGCTACCTGATGATGAACCAGGTGCAAGGGCAGCACTGTCTTCTGAGAGATGTCTCCCCCTTGATTCTTCTGCCACTTCAGACATTCCAGGTGGAAGGAGGCCCTTCGCCCTGCAAAGCCAGCCAAAGAGCAGGATCAGGGCAGGAATCCAGGACCTTTGTCTGAAACAGCTCAGACCCAGGGGAAGAGGCAAGGGGTAGTGTTAGTGACCCCAGACAGAGCTCTTCCAGCCCCTTCCCCGGCCTCAGAGTCCTATCAGGCAGGACTTGACGAAGGCCCATCCCAGCAAGCCGTGCCCCTGGGGCTCTTGTCTGGTCGCCTTGGAAATCTGCCCAGCCCAATGGGGTGGGGCTTGTTGGAGTCCGGTCACTGGTCCTTCTCACTCATCCTGAGTGCCTTGAACAGCGTCCCCTCACGGGTGACCACTGGGCACACATGGAGAGGGGTGTGTGTGCTTACCTAGGGAGGCGGAGCGGAGGAACCCCCTCTCTGGAGATTGCCGGGAGTCTCTCTTGTCTTCCTCGGGGGGCGTCAGCTGTCGGTTTTCATCATCCTGATAGGAGAGCCTAGAACAGAGAAGGTCTGGGCTTGTTCCCACGGGCCCGGAGTGCCACCCCACAGGGGCAGCTGCCACCCCAGGGAGAACCCACACTGTGCTTCTGCACTAGGGCAAGGGAGAGAGCAGCAGGCACTTGGCATCACAAGGAATTCTGCCCAGCTCCCTGGAAACACACATTTGCCCAGTCTGCTTGTTGGGGTGTCCCGCGCTTCCTACCCAGACTATCTAGTGTGAGCCCCGGGGTTCTGCTGAAAGTTGGGGTGGGGTGGCACTCAGGTCAACATTCAGAAACCAAACTGTGCCCTCAAGTTGACTGGGACTCATGGTGACCTAGGGGGCAGGGTAGAGCTGCCCCTGTGGATTTCTGAAACAGTAACTCTTCGCCGGAGTAGAAAGCCTCATTGTTCTCCTGAGGAGTGGCCGGTGGTTTCAAACTGCTGACCTGCCAATTAGCAGCTCAATGTGTAACCCACTCTACTGTCAGGGCTCCTCTCTCTTGGGTCCAAGTTGGAAAAAGACCCTCTAGGTTCTCCCAGGAACAGCCAAGGCTCTACTGTCTGTACACACAGGTATGTGGGTGTCCCATTCCTTCCGCCGAGGCCGTTCTGTGGTCCCATAAAGTTACGATGACCAAGCCAACTGCCACGGAGCTGAGGCCAGCTCACAGTGAGCCTGCAGGACAGTGTCGGCCTGCTCCGTGGGGTCTCCCAGGCTGTACGTCTGTACCGAAGTGGACAGCCTCCTCTTGCTCCCCTGAAGGGGCCAGTGGGTTCCAAATACTCACCTCTGGGTCAGCAGTCTAATGCTTAACCCTCAGCATCACCAGAGCTCCTCAAAGCTAGGATAATCAGTTCAGAAATCCCCATCAGAGCACATGCGGTGGCCGATAGCACTTCGAGAAATGCTGTAGATCTTAAGGGTCTCTGACCAGCTCGAGAGGCCCCTGTGCCACCCCAGGAAGGGCCAGGCAGATGCCAGGGGAATCACAGAGCAGGGTGCCCTGGGTGGCCCAGCCCCACTGGACCAGGGCATGCCCCCATGGTGGGGTGCAATTCTGGGCTGCTGCAGGGGTGGTGGGATGTCAGGGGAGGAGGCTGAGGTGGAGGAAGGGTGGGGTGGGGGGCTGGAAGAGCTTAGCGTCTTTCGGGCGGGGAGTTGGTGTTGGGGAAGGCAGGCTTGGAGGAAGGAAGAAGGGAGTCAGAGAGCGCCCGGCAGCTGCCGGCTGGGCAGCAAGTGCATGCCTCTTGGGGGGCAGGGGTTGAGGGAGGTCTGACCATGGAGACCAGTAGCATGCAGCCAAAGGTCCCGGCTCCCCCGCCTAGTTCCTTGACACGGAGGAGGACTGTCCCGACTGCCTCTCTCCTATGTACAGTACAGTGTCTGGACAGGACGCAGCGTGGACAGTACGCCGTGCACCCCCGTGCCAATGCTTCTCCTTATTTCTCAGTACCTCACCTAAACACTCACTACCATGGCGCCAGTGCTGACTCACAGAGACCCGATACGACAGGGCGGAACTGTCCCGTGGGCTTCTGGGATGGTTACTCTTTCTACGACTAGAAAGTCCATCTTTCAGTCCAACTCATGACCACTACACCACCGGGCGACTGCATCATGCTTGGCTGCTGACGGTAAGCTTGGGAGAAAAGGTCGCAAGACCCACCAGGAGGCTCCAAGAAGACCCTCTAGGGCGGAGCAGAACTGCCCCAGTGGGTTTCCGAGAGTGTCTATCTTGACAGGAGTAGAAGTCTCACCTGTCTCCCTCAGGGCGGTGAGTGGATTTGAACCGCACATCCTGGCGTTAGCAGCCCGATATGTAACCCACGACACCACCAGGGTGTCCTGTGTGGGAACCGGGAATGAAGAGATCGTGGACTTCACCCATGGGCTTTCTGGAGGCCCTCACAGTCACGGGATGGTCACAGCACAGGCATCCCATGGCAAACACGTGGGTCCCAGTGAGTGAGAATCCACGAGCTGGCAGCTTCCTCCCTTCAGCCTAAATGTATCCACACACCCCGCCCCCTGCGACTGCTCCCGGGCCCTGCAGCCCTTCTGCCGTCCAGAGCACCGAGGCCTGGCCTGCAACAGCCACACAGCTGTCCAGGGACGACTACAGAACCCTTTCAGAGCACACGGCCAAAAGCTTCTAAGCCTTTCTGACTGTGACTCACCATAAACGATGTGCTTTCCACATCTCCAACACACACACACACACACACACACACACACACACACACACAGCACTCTGGGGGTTTCCAGTCTAACTTCGTCTCTTCTAGTTCATTTTAAAATGCCAGGCGCCACCCACTACATTAACCTCACGATCTGTGGGGGCAGCTTGCAGCCTGAGAGGCATGGTTCCAACTGAGCACCTCTGTTTCGTAGAAGTGGTAATGGACTCTGCAGCTCCGGCTCCGTAGATTCCGCCCTGCCCCTGGCCCAGGGGCAGCTAGGTCTCCGGGTGGAGTAGGGTGTGTGTGTGTGTGTGTGTGTGTGTGTGTGTGTGTGTGTGTGTGTGTGCGTGTGCCCGCGTCCTGCTTTTCCTACCCAGACTGTCTAGTGTAAACCACGTGGTGGTTCGGAAGGGCAGGGGGGCAGCCAGGTCAAAACTCAAAAGGTGAGCCCATCGAACGAAAGCCTCCCACACTCATGCCCTCACGTGTTTGTACTCATTCTTAGTGTGGGTAGTAATCACATAATCTGTCGACAGGTGGAGTTTACCTGTCAATTAGGTCGCAGCTTGATGACCCCATTTGGAGGTGCTAAGGAGATAAATAGCTTGCCAGAGACGGGACACACATTCACTCCCTGGGAGACATTGCTGCTGACAAGACACATGGAGCTAAGTTAGTGCCCTGAGCTGGAGGAGCCACGTGGAGACCCCTGCCAGCACTGAGATGCTTCCACCGCCACTGGATCCACAAGACTTCCCACCCACAGGCCTGTGATCTTCCTGCATTCAGCATCATTGCATGTTTTGCTTGAGTCTGAAGAGGACTTTATAGATTGGTATCAGACATATGGGCTAACATCAGACTTACGGACTTAATCTGGACTGGGCTGGGATGTTTTCTTAATGTACAATTGCTCTTGTATATAAAGCTCTTCCCTATACGCGTATGAGTGTCTATGAATTTGTTTCTCTAGTCTACTCGGACTAACACGCATGGTCAGCCCTCCGTTACATTCCGGGCCCCCCCCCCCGCCCCCCCCCACCTTATCCAAACCGTATCTTCCTCTCCTCAGCACCTCTGATTCCCAACTCCTCTGTTCAGTTTCAAGGGCGTTCACGCAGCACCTTAGACTCGTTCTGACCCAGAGCTGCAGCGGAGGGGCCCACAGGACTTTCCTGGCTTCTGGATGTGGAAGGAGCCCTAGTGGCACAGCGGTTATGCACTGGGCTGTGACCCACAAGGTCAGCCATTTGAAACGACTGCTCACGCCCTGGGGGAAGAGTGAGGCTTTCTCCATGGTAAGGAGGTACAGTCTCTGGAGACCCACAGAGCGGTTCTACCTTGTCCTCGAGGGTCACTAGGCATTGAAAAGGACTCGATGGCAGTGATTCAGAAGAGGTGACCCTCTGTCAGTTTGCATCCTCTGAACATCTGTCAGCTCTCCTTGAGAACCTCCTAAGGTGCTTCTGTTGGGCTTTACATCCACCCATGGCAGTCTCAGAAGTGCACAGTGGCCGGTTGTGCCTTGTCCAGCAGGGCGGCCTTGAGTTGGAACCAACCCGATGGTAGCATGGTTTTCCTGTTTCACCAAGGAGCCCTGTTGGCCCCATGGCCACCCACGGACAGCTCAGTGCTTCAAGCCCACCACGCCAGCATTGCTCGGAAGATAAGGCAGTGCGCTTACGTGCAGAATCCTCCCGGGACAGAGCTGCTCTGAGTGGAGCTGGCCTGGATGACAGTGGGGGGTGTTTATATTTCACGAGTCAGAAAAGCTACGCCCGTACCCTCCGACACACAAAGGTCTCTTGATGACCGTTTCTCTGGCTTTTTGCTTTAATTTGGCTGTGTGCCAGAGTCTTCTTGGGAGTCCTGGAGGTGCCATGGTTAGCCCTGTTGCTAACCCAAAGGTTGGCAGTTCAAATGCACCAGCCGGCTCTTGGGAAGAAGACACGGTGGCCATCTACTTCCACAAAGATTACAGCCTTAGAAAGAGCCCCATTTCTCACCCAAGGGGACCCTGTCAGGCAGCGTAGAACTGCCCCTGTGGGTTTCTGAGACGGAACTCTTCCTGGGAGTAGAAAGCCTCCTCTTTCTCCCACAGAGCGGCCGGTGGTTTAGCACTGCTGACCTTGAGGGGAGCAGCCTCCCCATTTCCCCCTCTAAATTTGTCTTAGTTTTTCCAACAGTGCCCTCTGCTGGGCAGCTGTGTAACAAACGGTTGGGGTCACCTATTTGTGTGTACGGAGCTGGCACTGGCCCTGGGATTGCCGTGAACGTTTAAGAAACGTGTCTTACAGGATGTCTTTAAAAGCATCTCATGGCAAGGAAGGGCCAAGCAGAGAAGGGGTCAGGCTCTGTGTGGAGAAAAAGTACTAGAGGTGGGGTGGGGTGGGGGCTTCGAGCTCTCTAAACAAGTAGCAGATGCTTTGCGGATGTTTTCCTGAGAGACCATCCTCCCCCACTCCCCCCTTCCCGTCCTTCACCCCCGGGCAGAGGGTAACTGTGCTCACATCTCTGTGGAGACCAGGCTGGGCTCGCTGCAGTACTCCGAGTCTGCTGGGAACTTCACCTCATCGGTCTCCTCCCCAGAGACCTCCTCCGGACACACCATGGCTGTCTGGCTCTCCCGGGAGCTGCACCTAAGGTCCCAGAGGGAGAGAAGCGTCAGATCCTGCAAGTCCTCCTTCGCCCTCAGCAGGGAAGGCACCTCACACCCACGGAGTCACCACGCACACAGTCCACTCTCACTCACAGTCACTACTCCTACCTACAAACTCTCACACCCCCCCTCACACAAAGTCACCACCTACGCACAAAGTCACAATTCGACACACTCACACAGACTCATGTACTGACACAGCCACACATATCTCCTTACACACGCTCACCACTCCTGCACACACTCACTCACACCACCTAGAGACACACACTCAAACGCTCTGCCCACCCCAGGGTGACCTCTTCCTTCTGCCCTTGCTGTTGAAGCCATGAAACACAGACGGGCCAGGATGAGGGCGGGGGTCGATGCTGGAGGGGCTCTCTGGGTTGGGACCCCAGGAGATCTGAGTTCGGATCCTGTACCCCCTGGCTACACAGTCACACTCAAGTTGCTTAGGTCAACTCACGCCTTCTGAAAAGTTGGGGTGATGCATGCCCTGCCTGACCCTGAGGCTTGTGGGAGAAACAAAGGCAGAGACAGATGAGATGGCACGTCGGAGGAGAGAGAGGGCCAGCTGGGAGAGAGGCCCTGCTACTGGGAGCAGGGCGGTGTGGCCGGTGACTGGACAGTCCCCTTCTTTTATTGCAATAAAACCCTGGTGGGGTTTGCTGAGCAGAACGGAGATGTGTCTGTCGTCATATTCGGACAAATCTTCAAGTTTGACACTGGCTCCTTAGAGTAAAGGCTCAGTAAAGCCCCAGATGGAATGGTTGGTTCTTCTGAGCAGAAGAAGTGAGCCTAAGCCCCTCCCTAGCCTGAGACCCTCCTGAGCCTGAGCGAGTCTCCCTGTGCCTGAGACCCTCCTGAGCCTGAGTCTCCCTGAGCCTGAGACCCTCCTGAGCCTGAGTCTCCCTGAGCCTGAGACCCTCCTGAGACTGTGACCCTCCTGAGCCTGAGTCTCTACTGAGCCTGAGTCTCCCTGTGCCTGAGACCCTCCTGAGCCTGAGTCTCCCTGAGCCTGAGACCCTCCTGAGCCTGTGACCCTCCTGAGCCTGTCTCTACTGAGCTTGAGTCTCCCTGTGCCTGAGACCCTCCTGAGCCCGAGACCCTCCTGAGCCTGAGTCTCCCTGAGCCTGAGACCCTCCTGAGCCCGAGACCCTCCTGAGCCTGAGTCTCCCTGAGCCTGAGACCCTCCTGAGTCTGAGTCTCTCCTGAGCTTGAATCTCTCCTGAGCCTGAGTCTCCCTGAGCCTGAGACCCTCCTGAGCCTGAGTCTCCCTGAGCCCGAGACCCTCCTGAGCCTGAGACTCTCCTGAGCCCGAGTCTCTCTGAGCCTGAGACCCTCCTGAGCCTGAGTCTCTCCTGAGCCTGAGACTCTCCTGAGCCTGAGACTCTCCTGAGCCTGAGTCTCTCCTGAGCCTGAGTCTCCCTGAACCTGAGTCTCACTGAGCCTGAGACTCTCCTGAGCCTGAGACCCTCCTGAGCCTGAGTCTCTCCTGAGCCTGAGATTCTCCTGAGCCCGAGTCTCTCCTGAGCCTGAGTCTCCCTGAACCTGAGTCTCACTGAGCCAGAGCTTCTCCTGAGCCCCAGGCCTACCTGAGAACCGGGCCCCTCCTGAGCCTGAGCCCCTCCTAACCATAAGTCCCTCCTGAGCTTCAGCTGTTCCTGAGTCCAAGTCCCTCCTGAGTCTGAGTCCCTGCTGAGTCTTAGCTGCCTCTGAGCCTGAGGCTCACCCACACCAGAATACGCCTCAGACTCGGATGACTTTCCCCTTGGCGGGTAGGGGCTCCTGCTAGTTTGGCCATGATGGGCCATGACCCGGTTAGCTCTGGTCCAAATGTTCTCCCCATTCTCGTGGTCCTCCTCTAAGTCGCTCCCACCATCTTTCCCCCTATAGACTCCAGGAGGGCCCCGGGGAAATCTCCCAGCCGACTCTGCCAGAATGAGGATGGGTCGGGGCAGAGGTCTCTGGGGGAGGCCCTCACAGAGTTGCCCACCCCAAGGCCAAGAGGAAAGGTGAGGCACACAAGGCTGGTGATGGAGCGGGAGGACCGAGATGTGGAAGGTGCTTTGGTGAGGTGTGATGGGGTGAGCTGGGGTGGAGAATGGCCGCAGGCACGCAGCACCGTTTCTTGGGGACCCCTGTGCACAAGGCGCGCTGGCCCATTCCCGGCAGGAGCAACTTGAACACTGCAGCCACAGCGCTCAGCGTTTAGCTGTAGGGCGCAGGACAAGGCCCCGGAGCTAGAACGTTGCTAAATCCTTCTTCACCAAGTGGCAGCTTAGAGCCCTGAGCGTTGTGTTGACCAACTGCTATGGGCAGTGGACGGGTGGGGGGTGGGGGTGGAGCTGGCATTTAGTGATACCTCCTATGCGCCAGCATGGTGCTAGGGACTCTGCAAATGTTCTACGTCATCCATGGGCGCGTTTGTGGGGAGAAGATGGAATTTTCCCGATGGCTTCTTCTCCCATCTCAGACCCAAACACCAAACCAATCTGTGTTGAGTCGCTCAGGAATCATGGTGGCCCAGGGTGAACTGTGCTTCCCGGGGCGTCCCTATTTCACACAGAACCAAATGATCGTAAAAACACCCTTTGCAGAAGGCCGCGGGGTTGATACTGAGCTATTACTGGCAGGTACAAACCCTCCTTCAGAGGGTTTGAAGAGGCAAGGGAGTGCCAGGGAAGAGTCCCTGCAGGTTGTAGGAGGAACATCGGGCAGCAGATAAGGCGGTGGAGGGCATAGGCCCTTGAAACGTCGATATTCTCCTACGCAAAACCAACCAGCCTTTCAGCTCGGCGCCCGAAGTCCAGTTCTGAGCTCAATGCCTTGCTCACAAGGCGTCGAGACGTCTCCAGGGACGTCTCCTGCGCTGACGGGCCCACTCAACATGGCTATTGGGAAGCTAAACCGACCAGTCTTCCAGAGAGTCAGGTGGATGGAGGATGGCCAGTTTGACTCGCCATTGTCTGGCCTGTGAATGCCCTGGGGGCAGGGGCTTTTGTATGGGACCACTTGAACTTCTGTGGAATGAAGGCAAGGGACAAGCATGCTGGTGCCTTGGGTGCATTTGCAGCATCAGGACCTCTGTCCGGGGCTGGAGAGAGACACCTGCACTTCCTGGTGCTCTGCTGACCTAGACCTGCCCAGCCTGCTCCCAAGTGAGTGTCCTCCTCTGAGTGAGCAGCAGAATCCAGGGGGCTGCAGCAAGATGCAGAGGGTGGGGCACCCATCCGGAGGACCCCAAGCTGCTGGTATAACAGGGAGGAGAGCCTCAGTGTCCCAAGCTGTTCTTCCTGGGGCCCAGAGCACGGAAGGAAGCACCCCATCCCAGCACCTCGTAGCAATTCACCCTGCGGCCCCAGGTAGCAGAGGGGGAAGGAATGAGCTCGCCAGGGTGGGGAGGTCATCAATGACCAGGAATGATCTGATATGAAGACAGACTGGGCCAGTGCTCCGGAGAAGGGCCACCCTCCTGTATAAAGAAGAGGGGCCATGCCATTCCCTCCCCGGTGGGGTGGGAGGCCAGGTTTGGACAGAGACTTGGGGATGGGTGAAGGACCAGTTCTGCTGTATGGGCCTCTCAGTGGGTCACAGACCAGCGGCTCCTCCGCTCTGCAGGGCGGTGAGAGGAGAGGAGGCACTGCCCAGAGGTGTGGCACCTCTGCGTACTACTGGCCAGTGGGACGATGCTGTCTTTTCCCAAGGACAAGACTTGGGAGGGCTCGCCTAGCTCTCTGGGGCCCACGGCAGCAGCCTCTATCCCCAGACTGAGCGGTGCGTGGTGGGTCTGGGGGCCAGACTCCCTTCCAGCCCATCTGCTCTGGGCCCGAGTGTGGGATGCCCTGGCTCACCCACCCTCCTGCTTACCTCTTGGAGCCGAGCTTCCAGGCTGACTCCTGTACCCGGATGGCAGGAGACAAGGGGAGCCCGTGGCCCTCCACGGTGCTGACCGTGCCGGGGTAGCCGGTGGGGCGGGGGAAGCGGCCCAGGGCCGTGTTGTTGGCATTGTTGATGTTGGCGTTGGAGCCAGTGGACGAGTAGCTGCTGGGGGTGAAAGTGGAGTCCACCAGTTTCTCGTGGGAGGGAGACTCGGTGTCGCCTTGGCTGTTACCCGCCTTGTTGATGTGCAGAGGGCGCTGGGTGGTGAAGGTCTGGGGGAGGGTGCTCCGGCCTTCGCTTTGGTAGTAGCTGACATGGTTGCCGAACAGGCCACCGGCCCTCTGCAGGCAAGACGGGGTGGGTAGGTGGAGGAGAACGTACCGCCCCTCCTCTGAGGGAGAGACCCTTGTAGCCGGGTCAGAGAGGTCCCGGGTGGGAAGGGTCTGCCCTCCGGAGGGCCACAGCCACAGCCGGAAGCACGTGGCAGAGGGTGAAGTGCCCCATCCGCGTGGCCGGGCAGCCTGGCAGGGAAGGGCCTAGGCACTCAAGCTATCCCCCTGCCCTCTGGAAGAGGTCCGGGGTGGCAAGGGCAGGACCTCCACCTGTGTGGGCACTGGGCCAGGCAAGGAGGCTGCCGAGTGTAAGAGTCATTCCAGAAGTTTTTGAGGAGCCCCTTTGAAGGCCGGAATGGGGTTCTGAGGACAGATCTAGGACGGCAATGCTGAGCTGCAGCCAGCTGCGTGGTTTGCTAGAGAGCACCGAGCGTGAGGGCCGGGGCCATGGAGAAGCAACGAGAAGAGCCTAAACTAGATTAAAAAGGGAGGTCCAACCAGCTCACGGAGCCTAGCCTGCATTGGCCAGTTTGGGACGAAGGTTCTACCACATCAGGTTTGTGATCACCTCCCTTTCTGCAGGAGCGTCTTAAAAGGGTCAAATCAGGAGCCAAAGTTCTCCCCAGCAGTTTCTCCTCGTCCGGGGCTGCCCCTGAGATTTGGTGGAGGAGCATTTTGAAAGCAAGCAGAGCCTCTGCCCCGGGTCTGCCCCGCCGGGATTCCCACGGTGCCAGGTCCCTGGGCCGTTTGGCATGGGCTTATGGAGCGAGCATGAGCATGACAGTGGGAGCACCCCAGGGTGCATGGGCTCTCCTCCTCCTGGGTGTGCCTGCAGCCCAGGACCCAGGCACGGGGTGGGGTGGCAGGCGTGAACACGGCCCTGCCACACTTGCCCTCAGTAGCTTCTTCCTTGCTCTGGAGGGGCCTTTTAGGGTTAGGCAGGGCATGAGAATGAGTGGAGAGCTGGGAGGTGAGACTTGGCGTTCCAGGACTGAGGCCAGCCTCACGGTCTAGGCTAGGAGAGCAGACATGGAGGGGACTGTGTGAGCTGAGGCCACTTGTACCACCTCGAGAGGACAGCCCCCACTGGTCCAGCCCTTTGTCACCAGGTGGAAATGCCAGCCCCTGTTGCCAGAACGTCCGATTTCCTCCCTCCCCCGAGAAAAGCCAGTGATCTAGATGTCATGTCCAACGCGCCACATTTTCCAGGGCTGCAAGCAGAACAGGTCTGCAAGTGAGCTGTGGTCCAGGGGCCACCCCTCGGCAAGTTTCTCTTAGGAAACACCTTGAGCAGGCACAGAGCTCCTCCTCTCGTTCTCCACCATCAAAAGCACCGAGAATTGCCCTGGGGAGTTCTGGCCTGAGATGGAGTCAGGTTGGAATGGTGAGGGGGTGGAGACAGCTACGAGGGATGAGCTGGGGACCTGCTGAAGTTCAGGCCTTTTCTCCCTGGAATTTCTTACCCAAAACAACGCACCCTCTTTCGCTTTCACACGGACCCTCGTCGAGGCCCCAGAGTGTGGCGGTGGCATCCACCTACCCTGAAGATGTCATCTTCTGAGGTGGCAGACACGGCCTCCTTCATGGCCTTGTCCAGCTCCTCCTCGGCCGCCAGATCTCCAGAGATGGCGCGTCGGATCTCGGGTCCCAGGTCGTGCAGCGTGCGCAAGCCAGCCTGCAACCCAGAGGACAAGTGAGGCCCCTGGTCTGTTTCTACCACAG